ATTTGTTGACTTGTATTTACCCTATAGGTAATAAGCTCAATGAGCTCACTCTCAGAATATTGTCTGCCCTCTATCCTGCGCACTTTGTTTGATTGGTATAAGAGACAGAATGGCATAGAAGATGAATCTCATGAGTACAGACCAAGAACAAGCACTAAGTCCAAAAGGTATGATTTTGAATATACCTACATACATTATTGACAGTTTCTAAGGTAAAACGCATTACACTTTGTCTATCAGCTTTTGTGAAGCTACAGGTGTTTGGAAGTTGTTTTCGTTTTTTCTGATTGTTCTGGAACTCTTCTCTCAGCTTCTAAATGGATGGAGTTAATTGTGTCTTTAAAATTATGCTCCTGATAGTTCAAACACTGTTTCTTACTGCTGTTTGGGATGCTGTAATGCCATTTAAATATTCATTTGTATAAACTGTGTTTGTCTTCTTTACTTGTGTGAGCAGGAAATAATTCTGTGACACTTGGAAGTTGTTGGGGTTTTTTTACACAGCCTTCTGCTTACCAGTAGAAGTTTCACATACATCTATTCCCAATCCAAAAAATTATGGATCACTCAAAGAGCTTTAGCAACATTGACTTAGCTCTTAAAATAAACAAGCAAGCAAAAATAAAGGCCCCAAAACAAAGTTTCTCAGTGATAAGGCAACAGATTGGTCCTGGTTTATATTGAGGTCTGATGGTTTGGTACACGTATATTCTTTAAATGTACAGTTTTTCTGAATACTTGGTACAACATTTACACACTTGAAGGAAGCAGCAGGAGAATCAACACTGACAGACCTGGTGTTTGGAAATGCATAGACGATTCTTCGCATTAGGATTACACTATAACCCAGTAACTACTGAAGACAGTATTTGCTGGAATGTAGGGGTAGGAGCTCATTTTAGATGTCAAGGTGGACATGAACCTGAATCAGAACCTTCCAGACTCTTTATATCAGTAGAAGTAGGCATTATGAAGGCATGATTTATCAATTAGATGTCTGCTTTTGGATGAGATGAATCCTTGCCTTGAAATTGCTCTTTGTCTCGGCTTGTTACAGGACCACCTGCTCATAGAATCATAGAATCACAGAATGGTTAGGGTTGGAAGGGACCTTAAAGATCATCTAGTTCCAACCCCCCTGCAACGGGCAGGGACACCTTCCACTAGACCAGGGTGCTCAAAGCCACATCCAGCCT